GAAATTGGCAAATGCTACAAATCAGAGTATTTATTCAGAATTTTTCAGCCTTGATGGGAAACTGGCAAATGCTACAAATCAGGGTATTTTTTAGATAGAGAGCTGGTTAACCAATTCACCACTATTGTGGTGACCAGTAGACCTCATAGGATTACTTGCATTTTTAAAAAGTGTTTATTCAGCATGGTAGTGGCATCAAAACAGACACATAGACCAATGGAACAGAACAGCAAGGATAGAAATAAATCCATGCATTTATGGCCAGCAGATCTTCAACAAAGGTGGCAAGAACACACAATAAGGAAAGAACAATCTCTTCAATAAAAGGTGTTAGGAAAACTGGATATCTAGATGCAAAAGAATGAAACTGGATTGTTGTCTCACGCCAAATACAAAAATCAACTCAAAATAGATTAAAGAATTAAACATAAGACCTGAAACTGTAAAACTACTAGAAGAAAACATAGGAGAAAAGCTCCATGACATTGGTCTGGGTAATGACCCCAAAAGCACAAAAACAAATTCAAAAATAGACAAATGGAATTTACATCAAAATAAAACGTTTCTGCACAGCAAAGGAGTTAATATCCAAAAATACATAAGAAACTCAAACAACTCAATAAGAAGAAAACAAATAACCCAATTTAAAAATGGGCAAGGATGTGAATAGAAAATTTTCAAAAGAAGACATACAAATGGCCAACAGGTACATGAAAGAATGCTCAATACCACTATCACCAGGGAAATGCAAATCAAAACCACAATAAGATACCACCTCATACCTGTTAAAATACCTATTATCAAAAAGACAAAACATAGCAAGCGTTGGTGAGGATGTGGAGGAAAGGGAACCCTGGTACACCACTGCAGGGAATGTAAATTAGTACAGCCATTATGGAAAACAGTATGGAAGTTCCTCAAAAAATAAAAAATAAACTACCATATGATCCAGCAATCCCACTCTGAGTATATACCCAAAAGAATTGAAACCATTATATCAAAGAAATTTCTGCACTTTTACATTCAACCCAGCACTATTCACAACAGCCAAGGTATGGAATCAACCTAAGTGTCCATCAATGAATGAATGGATAAAGAAAATGTGGTACGATGAAATACTATTCAGCCTTCAAAAAGAAGGAAATCCTGACATTTGTGACAATACGGATGAACCTGAAGAACGGTATGCTAAATGAGGTAAGCCAGGCACAGAAAGACAAATGTCACATGGTCTCATTTATTTGTAGAATCTAAAAAAGTTGAATTTATACAAGCAGAGAGTAGAATGGTGGTTGCCAGGAGCTGGCGTGGGTGGGGGGAGATGTTGGTCAAAGACACAAAGTTTCTCTTAGACAAAACGAATAAGTTTGGGCAATCTACTGTACAGCATGATGACTACAGTTAATAATTATGTACTGCATACTTGAAAATTGCTAAGAGAGTAGATCTTAAATGCTTGCCCCCTAAATTAAGTATGGGATCTCCTCCCCTAAAATAAGTATGTGAAGTGATGAATATGTTAATTATTTGATTTAGCCATTTCATAATATATACATATATCAAAACATCACCTTATATACCATAAATGTATACAACTTTTATTTGTTAACAACACCTTAATAAAATAAAACAAGCATTTAATAAAATCCAAGCAATGAGTTGGTGAATTGGAGAAGTTTCTACAGTATGATGGAAAATACCAAGATATTTTCCACAATATCTTGGTGGAAAAGAGATCCTTTCCCAGCACCTCTTAATCATAGCAATAGGTTAAGCTGATCTTGGATAATAATAATTACTGTTTATTTACTGCACACTATATCCTAGGTACTTTATACACATTTATGTCAGTCAATCCTCATGAAAGCCCTGTGAAACATCATCTCCCGTTGCAGAGGGAGAAACTGAGATCCCTGGAAATCAGGTGACTCAACTAAGATTATGTAGGTAAAGGGAATAGCTGGTATTTGAGTTTACCTAGTCTGGGCTCCATTGGTTGCACTTGCCACTCAGTGTCCCTGAATAACTAATATAATGGCGTTATTGGCAAAGATAACAGAATTGCTAAAGCTTTGCTGAGAAATTTCCTCAATAGTAAGTTTAAATATATATATGTGTGTTAGATGACTCTGGCACTCTTCTCCATAGAAGCAGAATGGTGACTTAGATAATCCCATGGTCCTTCCAGGTCTTCTAAGTTTAAGATTCTGTACCACACACATATACACCATGGAATACTATGCAGCCATAAAAAAAGGATGAGTTTGTGTCCTTTGTAGGGACATGGATGCAGCTAGAAACCATCATTCTCAGCACACTATCGCAAGAACAGAAAACCAAACACCACATGTTCTCACTCATAGGTGGGAACTGAACAATGAGATCACTTGGACTCAGGAAGGGGAACATCACACACCGGGGCCTATTATGGGGAGGGGAGAGGGGGGAAGGATTGCATTCTGAGTTTTACCTGATGTAAATGATGAGTTGATGGGCGCTGACGAGTTAATGGGTGCAGCACACCAACATGGCACAAGTATACATATGTAACAAACCTGCACGTTACGCACATGTACCCTAGAACTTAAAGTGTAATTAAAAAAAAAAAAAAAGATTCTGTACCACAAAAACTATGTTCATTATTACCTAATGTATGGGTTAGATTGTTGAACATTCCTTTGACCGTCTTCCTCGAAACTAAAGGTTTTGGGGGCAACTCCTATCTTTTCTATGATTAGAAAGGGCTTTCACTGCAATTTTCAGGGCTCTCCCCACTTCAGACTGCACCCTCTCCTCACATTTGAAAGAACATTTTGTCCAGGAGAAACCCACCACAAATTGTGTCAAACTTAAAACACAACAAACAATTTATCTTCAGAAGGTTGTCATAATTTTCCTGATTATATTTGCTAATTATCGACGCTCTCCCGGTTTACACAAGAGATTTGTCCATCTGCTTTCCCAGTTTGAACATGAAATAAATTTGTGAAGGCAAGTTTGTGACAACAGCTTCACTTCTCCCAGGCAACAAATTATGATGCTACACACTCAATTATTATATTACTGCAGAATCTGCTCAGAAGGAAAGAGATAGCTAATCCCAGCACAAACTAGCTGAAAGACCAGCAAATGGCAAGATCATAAAATAACAGTAACAGCTAACACTTACTGAGCACTCACTGTGTGCCAGATACCACTCTAAGCACTCTATGTATTAACTCTTTTTATCCCACCAAGTTAATTATTTCCAGTATGCCTCACTGTCACTCTAGAAAAGTTATCTATTCGCAAACAGTAAAGATAAACTTGACCAGCTTGACTCTAGCACCACAAATTATATTCTCCTAAGCTCAGTTTCCCTGACTTATTGTGCTTCCTGATATCCATACAGTTAACGGATTATATACAAGGGCAGAATCTAAGAGATAAATACATTGGGTCTAAGCAATCTATCTCCAGAGTCCATTCTTCTAACTCCTACACTATATTGTACAAGTGAGGAAATTAGAAACCAAGTAGATGGAGTGAATTCACTAACGTTACAGTTGTTAGAACACAGAATCACAGCATCTCAAGATTAATATAAAACAAAAATATTAAACACAGGTATTCAAGCATTGCATGAGAATATTTCTCAATAGTTTCAAAAGAAAAACCAAAACGAACATCGTGTACCAAGTCTCTTTACATTACATGTCATGCCAAGATCATCAAGAAAATCAGGTAAGTGTAACTGGATCCTAATCTTTGAATTTAATTTGAGGACTAGACACAAACCATATTTATTTCATAGCGTTTTACTTATCATTTGTGAATAAAATGACAAAGCCCAAGATTTAAAATTATTACCTTCTGTTAGTTACTAAGGTGAAACATATGGAAAGTAGTAAACTTCAAGAGAAGCATTTAGTCAAACACATACTTAGCCAAACACATCCCACATGTCCCATGTAGGAACCGACACTTTTAAAAACCATGTCCCCGTTATTTTCAAATGCATGTCACTGTAATTACCACTTACCAGAATTCCTCTTCCTTAGTATCAGAAAGAAAGGTTTACAAGCATTAAAGTCTAGTGAAAAGCTGAGGATTTTTCCCACTTCCCCCCTGGATTAGAGGTACTGGTTAACAAAATCATGCTGAGAAATCCTGTCTCCTCTTCTTCTCCACTACCTCAGTAACTTCCCCACAGGTCTTAAATTCCCTCTTGAAGCAGTATCAATAATTTAGACATTGCAGTTTGCAAGTGCCCCCAGAATCTAAGTAAATGAACTCAAGAAGTGAAACTCTACCTATAAATTATTAAATTGAAAGCTCTCAAACTCAATGAATTAGAATAACCTGAGTATTTATTAAAATGCATCCCTTCAGAGATTCTAATTTAGTGGGTTTGCAGTAGGGCCAAGGAACCTACATGTTAAACGAGTATTCCAGGTGATTCTGGTGCTGAGAGTTGATTTAAAGGCCACGAGCAACACAGCTCTATTCAATATCATAGGCACACAAGGGATGAGTGTCCATCAAAGGGAGGGAAGTATAACAGTACAAAAGCATCTGGGACAAGATGGTAGTCCGCATGCACTGGGCTAACAAGAGGTAAGCCAAGGTAGGGAGGCATGGAACTATGAAACTGCTGGCATTTGGATGTGGATGACTACCAAAGATTAACTCTGCCTACCCAAAAAGTCTGTTTAGCTCCTTATACCCAGCTTACAAAATCACACCACAGATATTAAAATCAAGCCTGGATATGAAACATTTATGTTGTACAGAATAGAGGGAAAGGTAGTCGTGGAAGGAGCCTAGTTAAGTAAGGGACATTGGACTCTAAAATATATCTAAAGACAAGAGCATAAGTGATATTTTTGAAAATCACCAATTTTTTCAAAGTTTCAAATTTAAGGCATCATCTTCAGCCAGAGGAAAATCTTCTCCTGATTTGTCCAAGTCATAAGGAAATAAGAAAATGCTCCTTCAATCACTCCTTTTAAATATCTTACCTTCTACGTTGCCGGATCCCTGATAAAATCAGTAGTGTAATTGCAACTATGACGATGCAAAATATCACACCAAATATAATAATCCAGATGGGCACAGATGGGTCCATGGGTGGTGCAAGTGTGGAAGGGATTTTCAAAAATTCCAGAGTTTGGTCATTTAGAAAGAAAGCACCGTTGATCCGGTTCTTGTTCATTCTAAAATGCAATGATAATTAAAAATAAACAAAATAAGACAGAAAAAAAAACTATTAAGACAAAGTACAAACCTGTTTCTCCATGATTATAAACATCTCTATAAACAAAGCATCCTCTTGGCAGGAGACTTCAAGTTGACTGGAAAGTTTGCTGAGGGCAATCATGCCACCGTTTCTCTTAAGTTACAACGCTAGCTGCCAGAGGGATGCCCATGTATCCACTGCTGCCCCCATTGTTGTGAATGTCCCGAAGTCCTGAGCTTTGAGCTCTGTCCACCATGTTTTACTTCCTGAGAGGTAGTAAGGTAGGAGGAGGGATTCGTCTCTGGAGGTAGGGCTCTGACCCTGGACCAAATTGAGGATGAACTGAAACAGAGCTGGGGGGTGGGGGGAAGCAGCTTTCCATCAGACACGCCCACCAGTGTGCCAAGTCAGTTTACCATTGCCATGGCAACACCTGGGAGTTACCACCCCTTTCCATGGCAATGACGTGATGACCCCAAAGTTATTACCCTTCCCTATAAATTTCTGCACAAACTGCTCCTTAATCTACATGTAATTAAAAGTGGGTATAAATATGACTGCAAAATTGCCCTGAGCTGCCAGTCTCTGCCTACAGGGTAGTCCTGCTCTGCAGAAGCAGTCACAGAGCAGTAACATCACTGGAGCTGTAATACTGCCTCTTCAATAAAGTTGTTTTCTTCTACTTCTGGCTCTCTCTTGGATTCCTTCCTGGGCAAAGCCCAGAATCCTCATGGGCTAAGCCCCAAATCCTCATGGGCTAAGCCCCAGTTTGGGTTTCACCTGTCCTGTGTGAGTAGCATCTAGATTAGAATGACAAAGCTCTATTTAAGGTGGCTTACATAAATATCACAGCCCCCAAAAGTAAAATTACATGTAAAATATGGGTGATGAATAGGAGAAGTAAAGAAAACCAGAAGCTAAAAAGAAAACATGAACCAGGAGTGGCTTCAAATTCCTCAACTTGATCTTGATCTTTTTTTTCATTAATTCAACAAGCATTTGCCAAAAACTTACTAAATATCAAATACTATGCTAGATGCTGGAGATACAATGTGAAATTAAAATATCAAGGAGCTTACGGTCTAGAAGGTGACAGATTAGTAGATCCACAACCACGGTGCAGTGCAAAATGTTCTGTGAAAGAGGCAAATACGGGCACAGTGTGAGCAGAGGGAAGGGCCAAGTACACCACTGTGAGAAGTCAGAGCTGCTTTGCTCTGGAGGCCATTTTTGAGCTCGTTTTGAGGGACAAGGAGGAGTTTATAGACCAAAGTATGTAGTGAGCACAGGAATGGAGACAGGGTAAAGTAAGACTTGTTCAGCAAACTGCAAGTAGTTCCATAGGACTAAAGACAAGTAATGATTTAGGAGTTCAAAAGCCTGGAAAATTGTTACTTTTCCTAGGAAATATCTGCATTTTTAGTGGTGGTGGCAGTTAAGGAGAGGTTGGTAGCAAAGACTTATTTAATTGAAACCAAATAAGTGAATTTCTAACTGTAAACTGGAGAGTCCTTGGAGATATTTTATGACCTTTACTGAATTTATATTACACAAGCTGCCTTTGTCTACCTCTAGAGCAGCCTTGGAAAACAGAAATATAATGTGAGCTTCATGTGACTTAAAAGTTTCTAGTAGCTGCACTAAAATAAACAGATGAAACTAATTTTAACAATGTATTTTTTGTCCAATATATCCAAAAAAATATAATTTCAACATGTAATCAGTATCAAGTTGACTTTGCATTTTGTTTGTTTGTTTGTTTTTTGAGACAGGAACACTCATGGCTCTTTGCAGCCTCAAACTCCTGGGCTCAAGCAATCCTCCTGCATCAACCTCCCGAGTAGCTAGGACTACAGGTGTGTGCCATCACACCTGGCTCTGTGTGTGTGTGTGTGTGTGTGTGTGTGTGTGTAGACAGGGTCTCGCTATATTGCTCAGGCTGGGGCTCCACATTTTATTTTGTACAATGTCTTTGAAATTTGGTTTATGTTTTACACTGTGAGCACACCTAACTTTGGATTAGTCACATTTCAGGTGCTTAATAACCACATTTGGCTGGTGGCTACGGTACTGGACAGCTCAAGTCTACAGCCTGATAGTATGGCTTGAGAATCTCTGCAGGCCAGCACCAGGCTATCAGGAAAGACCTCCTTTAGTAAATAAATATCTCTGCTGAGGCATGATTACTCATGGATGTGACAGTGAACCCTAGCCAGACAATCTACAACAAGGGATTTTTATCCAACAATGGAATATTTTATTTTGTCATAAACTAATATTGATCATCTGAGAGCACAAACTTTTCCACAAAATAATGAAACCCACTGCTAAGATATAACTCAGAGAAAAATGAAAAGTTGCTCTGCATTCTCATTCTAACTTCCTAGTTGGTTAACCCTTTGTTACTTGCTTACTCTAGGCTTGGAATGCATTCTATCACCTCGCAGACCGACTGGAAGTTCTAGCTCAGGTACATATTAAATCTGCTACACCACTGGAATCACCAATTGGCATCAAGCATCATGTATATCTTTCAGCCAAGAGTGGTGTTGAATTAAGCCAGGCCCTCACAAAAGTACTAAAACAGACATCTTGGAATTAGTTGGTCACTTCTTTACCTCATACCATGAATACTCTGTATTGGTAAAAAGTCCAGTACTCTGTTTTGCCCATTTCAACTATTTTACTTGAAATGAGAATTCTGTAATTCTCATTCTGTTGGCTATTCCCACTTCCTAAATAGTTTATCCTGCTAGGACCTTTGAAATAGACATTTTGTGAACAAATTCATGTACTTCCTGGACCTTTACCCCATGCACTTTGTGTAAAATGACCAACCAATTCTGAGATGTCTGTTTTAGTTCTTTGTGTACTCTGGAAAACAGGAAAAATCACTGGATGTGGTGGCAGCATGCCTAGGTTCAAGTCCTCACTCTTTCTCTTTCTAGCATGGTGGCCTTCACAAATAAATTAATCTCCCTGAGCCTCAGTTTCTTCATTTATAAAGGAAAGATAATAATAATTACTCAAAAATTATTGGTGTTGGTTGGGTGCAGTGGCTCATGCCTGTAATCCCAGCACTTTGGGAGTCTGAGACAGGAGGATTGCCTGAGGCCAGTTCAAGGGCAGCCTGGACAACATAGCGAGACCCTGTCTCTACAAAAAAAAAAAAAAATTTAAATTAGCGAGGCATAGTGGCACATCTCCCTAGTCCCAGCTACTTAGGAGGCTGAGACAAGAGGATCACTTGAACCCCAGGAGTTCAAGGCTGCGTGAGCTACTATCATGCTACTGCACTCTAGCCTGGGCAACAAAGCCAGACTCTGTCTCTTAAAAAGAAAACAAAAAAATTGTTGGTGTCATTATTAAATGCCACAGATGCATAAGAACATTCCTTGTGAACCAAAAAGTGGTATGCAAATATTAGGTGGAACTAGTATTATTTTGCCCAATCACTTAGATTCTTCAGCCTTGAAATTCCTATTATTTGCTATCTAAACACCATCTCCTTTTTTCACTCTATCCTTCCTTTGTAGTATAGTTTCCTTTATTTTCATCCAATCCTGATGTGCCCTACTAATTCCCTAACATAAATTCTCATTCTGTTGGCTATCCCCACCTCCTAAACAGATTCTCTTGCTAGGACCCTTGAAACAGACATTTTGTTGTGAACATATTCATGTATTAATACTTCCTGGACCTTCACCCTAAGCACTCACTCTTCCTTCTCCTATCAACTGAAGGCCTGGTTTAACCCAGTGTCTTCATTTTCCTTGTAGCCCTCACAGATCACAAGACATGAATAAAATCTTTTTTCACATGAAGTATGATATTTTTAATTCTTACTCCCTAAGTGGTGAGAGTCTTAACAGTATTTTTAGTGGCAAAAGTGAAGAAGCAATTTAGTTCAAAGTTTCTTGTTAGGGAAGATTCAATCATTTCCCATTGGTATAAATCCTCAGTGCCTTTGCTTCAGCAAAAGAAACAGATGATGTTCACAAAAACCTTTGACATTTGATTATATACTCATTATCTTAAGTGTTAACATTTTACAGAGAGCTAATGAGTTATTCCAGTAGGTATTTATCCTTGGTAAAAATAATAATACGTATTTCAGTAACTTGTAAGTCTTTTGCGGGGAGAGCTACTTTGTTTTGTTCTAGTTTATTTCCTGAGCTCATTTTTTGAGTAGACCTTTCCCCAACATCAATCAAATGTGGTATTTGAAGTTTTGACACATACTAAATGCACAGTAATTGAAAGAAATACAAGTTGCATCCTATTAATTCTTGAAAGTCATGAATTCATTTCACTTTTGAGTTTCTTACGATCATAAGGAGGGAAGGAGTAAAACTGTCAGGAAGTAGGCCGGGCGCGGTGGCTCAAGCCTGTAATCCCAGCACTTTGGGAGGCCAAGACGGGCGGATCACGAGGTCAGGAGATCGAGACCATCCTGCCTAACCCAGTGAAACCCCATCTCTACTAAAAAATACAAAAAAAAAAAAACTAGCCGGGCGAGGTGGTGGGTGCCTGTAGTCCCAGCTACTCGGGAGGCTGAGGCAGGAGAATGGCGTAAACCTGGGAGGTGGAGCTTGCAGTGAGTTGAGATCCGGCCACTGCACTCCAGCCTGGGCGACAGAGCAAGACTCCATCTTAAAAAAAACAAAAAAACAAAAAAACCTGTCGGGAAGTCAGGAAAAATAGTAAAATACTTGAAATGGGCACAACAGAGTACTGGACTTTTTCCTGATTGTCCTGCTGAGAGCACTGTTCTAGGCAATTTCCATCTCTTATGGTCTTTGAGCTATTTTGCAAATCCATAAGTTCTTGAAAACTAACATAATATAAATGATTCTTGTCCATAGAAAATCAAATGAACTGTGTCTAGTGGAACATAATTGGTTACTGCCTGAAAAATAGACTGATGCATCTTTCTGTAGATGCATTTTACCATTCCTCACTTTCTATATATGGGTGGTTCCTCGAAGTCTCCTTGAAAAAGGTTTTAACATCTTACTAGTGCCCTCATTAACTAATGAGATAATAAAATTTTTGATAGTAATAATGTTTAGTTTGCATGAGTCATGATTTTACCTTTTTTAAAAAAAAATTATCTTTTTAAAGTAAAGACTATATATTGACTGAAAAAGGTAAGCCATTGGGTCCCTAACTTCTGCTTACTCATTGCTGGTGGTACCACCATCCCCTCCGGCTGTGACAATAAAAATGTCTCCAGACATTGCCAAATGTCTCCAGATAGTGCCAAATGTCTCCTTGAAGGCAAAATTGCCCCTGGATGAGAACTACTGATCTATACTCATCTTTAACAGAGACTAACAAAATGAAATCTTTTACATTTTAATAAATAATTCATGTGTGAAACAGACAAAACTCTACAATATCTATTTTTAAAAACAGTTGAATTAATCAGCAAGTTGATCGACCAATAGAAGGCATATTTAAGGGTGATTACCTTATGGCTGTTTGCACCTCAACAGCAGGAAGGGTGTGATTTTTCGAAGGGTCTGTAACCACAAACCAGAATGATACCCTTTGGGTTACATTGCAAAGTAGGACATGGGAAATTCTGCAGACAGTGGAAAGAAAAACTATATTAGAAGAATATCATAACAAACGGTATTAAACCATTCACTCTGATGCTATTATTATCTTAAGAAACATTTTAGCTATGTTTAAAAAGTCATTTCTACCATTATAAAGAATGATTTCAGTAAGAAGAAAATCATAAAGGAAATTCCCATTGTTTCAAAATCCTATACTTGGGGATCATTCGTTATAGGGAATAATAGGGAATCTGCCAAAAAATAATAATAGTCAGTGGAGAGTATCAGGGATCTCATTCTCCATCACCGGTTGGTGTCAGCCTCTGTTTCCCCAATGCTTGGCCCTCTCTGAATCATAGAAACCTTTGGTATTTTCTCATTAAACTCTTTTTAGTACCCTGCCCATTCATAGTCTTTCACCTCTCAGACCCAGAGAGGATCTGCTGCCCCCTTATGATTCAATACTTGCTCTGTCTGCATCTACTGTCTCTCTTCCACCCCAGCATCGGGGCCAAGACAAAAGACACCTTCTGTGTGTACTTTTGAAGAAAAAGTTCTCAAAAACAGTTTCTTTTACATTGCCTTGAACGAACCTCCAAACTTAAGCACTATAATCAATTCACCAGCAGTCTTCGAACTCTTTGTTTGGCAGTTACACACTTTTCAACTGCAAATTGGAAATGTGACTCACTCTCCTCTGTATTACCATTAAAAGTGAAAGGGGAGAAATGACAGTGTTCAGAGAGAGACAATTTATACATGGATGGACTCAGGCTGGAAATTATAGGAAAGTCCACATAAAATCAACATTGCTAATGCTAAAACAAAACCTGATGGCTTTCCCAGTTTACTTAAGAGCAAAACTGCAAAAAGCAACATTAACATCCATCCTAGAAGAATCTGATACGAGTAAAGGATTTGTTTAGAGCATCCATGTGTATTGTGATCATTATCACACTGATCAAAGAGAGCACCCTTCTGTCAACAGGTATCTCCGGTTTTCAGGACCTGGCAGAAATTCTTCTGTGTTCTGCCTTTAAAGGTCAGGTACAAAAGTAGAGGCAGCTGCCAGGCCCCTTTGCCCAGAGCTAAGTGTCTGGGACCATGAGTGGGAAGGATTGAGGCTTGAACCTCCTTGGTCCGCCAGACAGCATGGGGCACCACCCGCCCGTTCTGCAGCTGCGCGCCGCAAAGCTCTGGCCTGGCCGTGGCCACCTGCCCCATGCGACACTTGCTGGCCAGACCATACCTAGCACACAGTGCCTCGTGCACTTTCCGACATTTTGATGCCAAGGGTCGCTGGTCACTGAGCACTGACATTTGATCTCGGACCCTGACCGCAGATTTCGGAAACTTCTGGCACCCCAGTGTCTACTGAAAGGCCCCACCCACTGCCCTGCTCTCATGGGCAGCTACCTGAGCCGCTTCCTGGGCTGGCTCTGGGCCAGAAAGCTGCGCCCTTCCTCAGCCCCCAGGTCCAGGAGAACTGCAAGGTCACCTACTTCCAAGGGAAGCACTGGGTCCGCACCCGGCCCCTCCCCACCGCTCCTCCCAGCTGGGACTACCCCCGCATCCGCATCCGGAGAGAGATGGTCCCCGCCCCCATCCACCTCCGGAGATGGTCCCCCAGGCCTGGAGGTGCTTTCCCAACAGGCCGCCGCTGCGGAGAAACATCAGGCCTGGTTTCTCCGAGGCTGGCGTGGCTTACGTGAAGCGGTGGCTTTGGACCGCCCACCACTCCCCCAGCCTGTCCACAGCCTGGTGACTGTGAAAATCACCCCGCTGGAGCGCAGAGGGAGCCCGACGCCCAGGCCATCTGCCTTCAAGCCTGTGATGAGAAACAGAGTGGGCCATTCCTTTGTGCCCAGGTCTAGGCCGCTGAGCAGAGGCCCCCACTCCCAGGCAGCGTTGTCTCAATCCTCGCGGCCGCCTGCCATGCTGCAGGATGTGCGGCTGCCAGGCGCCCGGTCGCCGAGTCACCGCAGGAGCGCTGGGCCTGCGGGCAGCACTGCCCTGACGCCTCAGGTTTGCCTGCGCCTGGAAGGAGGTTCGCCAGGGCGGCCATGAGCCTCTGAGCACACCCAGCCTGCTGCCCAGCTCCAAGAGTCAGGCCCCTGCCACCACCTCCTGAACCTCCAGCCCTCAGCGCCTTCACCCTACTGACTGTGGTTCCACCCCCACACCAGCCACCGGCCCCACCAGGGCACTTGCCACCGCTCCAGCCGACCACTCAGCGAGCCCCAGGCCCACCTCTCCTCTCCCTTAAAACCCTTCCCTTTTCCTTGCCCATTCGCCCCTGCCCTCTCCCTGGGGACAGAAGGCATGCTTCTCCCCAGTTTCCCCAGTTTCTGCAATAAAATATTGGTTGTTGTTAATAATAATCGGTGTCTTTATTATAGAGATTGTCATATGCTTTCTTTCAAAGACGACACCATGGTTTCTCCAGCTTGGCACTAGTACTTGGGCCAGATGGTGCTTTCTTGTTGGTGGGGGGAGGGGGGCGGGGGACGCTGTCCTGTGCATTGCAGGGCCTTAGCAACATGCCTGGCCTCTCACCTCTAGGTGCCAGCAGCACACTCACAGTCCTGACTATCAACAATGGCTCCAGGCGTTGCCAAATACTCCCTGGGAGGTTAGAGAGGTCAGAAGTCATACTGGTGAAGAACCACTGAGGATCAGTGACCTCTAGTGGCAGAAACAGGCAAGCCTAGTCCCCCAAAATGTGCGGTTTTGTAATACATATCAAAGACGCAGGGACAAACCAAATGAAGTGGCCCATGCTGGACAGAAAACATTTTCACCAGTTTTCTAGAATGCTTGGGGTGTGAATGATTCCTGTCGTCTGGTCTTACTAGCAATCAGGAAATGCAAAATTGTTACAAATGAGCTACTATTTTAAACTTTTCAAACTGGCAACAATTTAAAAGTTAAATAATACCAAGGGCTGGTAAAGACGCATGGAATTGGAATCCCAGGTGACGCTGTAGAAGCAAGGAGTCCAGCCACTCTGGAATGGCGTTTGGAAGTGATTCCTAGAACAGAAAATGCAGCTACCAGAACCCCTGTGGCACACACACACAGACACTGGTGAGGATGTTCTTTGCGGCCCTCGTCATCATAGCAGAGAATTGAAACAACCCAAATGTTCATCAGTACAGGAATAAAGTAAATATAGTATAGGCTGTCGAGGGAATACTGTTCCACAGATTAAAGGAAAGAAATAGCCCAGGGTTTCTCAACATCAGCATGATCATGCCACATAATTTTATGTTGTGAGGATACTCTGTGCTTTCCAGGTTGTTTAGCAGCAAATCTGAGCTCTATCTACCAGGTATCAGGACTACCTCCAGTAGTGACAATCAAAAATGGCTACAGGTGTTCCCAAATATCCCCTGAAGGACAAAACCACCCCCTGGTGGCAACCACTGAGCTAAAGCTACATATTTTTTTAAATAAAAGAATAAATCTCAGCCTTGCACGGTGGCTCACGCCTGTAATCCCAGCACTTTGGGAGGCTGAGGGGGGCGGATCACGAGGTCCGGAGTTTGAGATCAGTCTGGCCAGCATGGTGAAACCCCATCTCTATGAAAAATGCAAAAATTAGCTAGGCATGGTGACGCACACCTGTAATCCCAGCTACTCAGGAGGCTAAGGCAAGAGAATTGCTTGAACCCAGGAGGTGGACGTTGCAATGAGCCGAGACTGTGCCACTGCACTGCAGTCGGGGCAACAGAACAAGACTCTGTCTCAAAAAAAAAAAAAAGAATAAATTTCAAAAATACACCATCAAGTGAAAAAGATAAGAGGTAAAATATTATGCATAGTACATAACATTTATATAAATTAAATACCAAATAGAATTTCAGGCATAAAAGGTCGAAATCAGGTAAAGAGTCATTTGGTTACTTTGTCTGTATTATTCTTTCCATATGAAGCCTCTTTAAATACTGTTCAAACATGAATTTCATGGTATTCCCCATTAGAGAGCCATAGAATACAGCTGTAAACAAAGTCCTTTATCTCATGGAGCTTGCTAAGGAGGTGGAGACAAAAGATAAACAAGTAAATAAATGCATACACTGTGGAGGTGTGGAGTAAGTACTATAAAAAAAAAAAAAGGGAGGGCGTACAACTCCATCAACACAACTATGGCCCCAAATACTTTCCTCTGTCCCCATCACTATGGAACTATACCATGAATTCAAGTTCTTTAAATTTATTCAAGTTTCCAATGGGTGGCAACTCATACTTTAATACATTACCCTCAGCAAATAAAATGAAAATATTTTATCTACTTAGAAATAAAGATTTCCAAAAGATTAACATTTTTGCTGAAAATATTAAACCTTACATTTTCAATGGAGACAGTTATTGTTAGACAGAAAAAGTTCCTGGACTGAAACTCTAAAAACAAAGCTTTTATTTTGAAATTTACTACCTGCCAAATGGTGGTCTTGAGACAATCATTTCACTGTCTATGAGTTACTAGGAAAGGCTTGAGTTCTTAGTGTGTCAACGGGGGTGTGCTGTTGGCATTTTGGGTGGGAATGTTATGGGGAACTGTCTTGAGCCACGTGCCACACTGATTATCTCTCTTCCCCACCCTTTAAATACCACAGCACTCTACAGTCATAGATATAACCCCCAAACAGATCCCATTTCCTTATACTCCATGGGTGGCGGGGCGGGGAGGGTCAGTACCAAGTAAGAAACATTTCTAAATCTCTTCAAAAGTTTCAAGGTCATGAAAACAAAGAAAGACAGAGAAAGTGTCACAGAGTGGATCAGACTAAGGAGAAATAGATTCTGAAATAGAAAAAGGACAGTAGTTGAAAAATTGAACCAACGTGAATTTCTTTGTTGGGATAAATCTACTGTGGCTATTTAACATGATATCATCAGGGAAATGGGGTTAGAGCAGGGTTTCTCAACCCAAGCCCTATTAACATTTTAGCCTGGATAATTCTAGGTTGTCAGGGACTGTCTATGGTTTTGTATGATATATAGCAGCATCCCTAGCCTC